ACTCCTTTGCTGGTTACTTGCTTCAAGGATCCATCAGGTAAACAAATGTTCACAGGCTCATCAAGTGGTTGTAGTTCTCTGATTAGTTTATTGTCTGAGCAGATGTGCCTACTAGCACCAGTATCAATGATCCATTCTCCCAGCAAGTCGTTATTGAGAGTTGTTAAGGCAAAATGTAAGTCATCTCTCTTATCTTTGCCTGCAAAGTCAACAAACTGTGCATAATCCACATTGTTCTCCATGTTTGCCTTTCCCTTGATATATTGAGTCAGTTCATTCAATTGTTGAACTATGGAGGTGAGATCAGGGCCATCAAGTGCTTTGTCATTCATCCTCCTTTTTTGATCTAATGTCTCATTGCTTATCTCTATATTGTTGGCATAAGTCCTTCCTTGCTGTTGCTGTTGTTTAAGATCCTTGTACCATTCTGGTACTCCATGAACCTTGAAGCAAGTTGAAATATTGTGTCCACTCATTCCACACTTCTCACAAACAAGTCTTGCCTTTTCCTCCTTTGTGAGTCTAGGGTTACCTCTTCCTCTCCCAGGTCCCCACTGTGTACCACCTATTCCTCCCATAAAGTTTCCTCTACCATAACCATCTGTCCTTGCTGCCAACACTGCATGGTCCATTCTTTCACTGTATAAATTCTGGACAGATCTCTGCCTTTCAACTGTAAGAGCCATTGAATAGGCCTTATTTACAGAAGCTAATGGATCTAGTAACATGATTTGATTTTTCAAATGATCATAACCATCATTCAGTCCCATAAGGAACTGAATCAGCTTGGTCTCAGCATCATGTTGAGCCACATGTTTCCCTTTCACACAATCACAAACTCTTACAGGAGCAACACAAGCATATTCATCCCACAATTTCTTAAGTTTGCCAAAATATTCCATAACAGTGTCATTTCCTTGATTTAAGCTAGTAATCTCCCTCTGCAGCTTATACTTCATAGGACCATTATTTTCCCCGTATCTCTGGCAAATCTCATCCCACAGATCCTTAGCAGATTCCGCATACATAAAGGACTCAGCTATGTCTTTAGATAAGGAATTCAATATCCATGAAAGTACAGTCCAGTCAGCCTTTCTCCATATGATATACATTTTATCCTTTTCATCTGGTTTCTCGATTTCCCCATTAATAAATCCAATTTTCGTTTTAGCATTGAGAGCAATGATCATCGAACGTTTCCATGGTAGAAAATTATTCCCAGCCAAAGGAGTAGTTACTAGAACCATACCAGGGTTATCGGAGCTGTACAAAAACAGTGGATCTTGTTCAGTGAGCTTCACACCGGATGTAATGTTGGTGTTGAGTAGCGGCCAAGCCTCATTTCTGCGTTGCGCCATGGTTGAGCTTGCTCAGAACAGAGTGAAGAAACCGAAGGATCAGTAGAGTAATCGCCAACGTGAAACCCTAGATCAGACCTCAGATCAACGATTTTAAGCTTTTCCGGCACCAGAATCAACCGCTCTAGATACCATGTTGAAATCAATTTTGGGAGCTAAGATATTTTGGAACTATTTTCTTATTTCTCAGAAAGTTAAAATGAGCGAGCTTACAGGGATGACCTTATATCGGGTCCCATGCACCGTACACATGCAACAACTAAAATGACAGCGTTTTTAATATGTAACATAAACGCACCACACTAATAAAGTCGCAACACGCCTTTAGAAGGCAAAATAAAAGAAAACTAAAACAGCAAAAACTGAAGCTAAAATAGAAAAGCAGCAACATGGATCTTCTTCTTTGCATGGAAGTGCACCATTCCAACATAGAGACTGAATATCTTTCACTTTGAGTAGAATCGGTATCACTATTCATTTTTCTCCAGGTAATCTTTTTCTCCCGTTTTTAAACAGATTACTAAGATCTCATTCATTTGGTGGTCTATAAGTTGGTATAGACTTCTTTTCTTTAATATTTCTCAAAACTTTTTATACTTCTAATAATTTAGTTTCTTGATTATTAGAATCAGACTGTTGTATATTTTGCTCTATTCTTAGAACAACTTCTTTTATTTTACTAACTATAGTTAGTATTTGTTGTACATTTCCTACTTCAGGATTTTTAGCCATTTAATCCTAATTCCTTTGCAATCTAATTTGCAAGTAAAATTACTTTGCTTAGATTTTCCACTAATGGTTCAATTTGTGGAATTTTTTCGTCTAATTTTATTAAGGTTTCTTCTAACCTATTTATATTTATTTTGTTAATATTTTCAATAATTTTGTCAGCTTTTGCTGCGATATCAAGAATTTCTGATAGTAGAGTATCAAGAAATTCAATATTTCTACTTGTTTTTTCAAGTCTTTCAAGAATTAATTCTTGATTATTTCGAATTTTTTCAATATTTTCCCAAAGAGGAATATTATTTGATCTATTCATTTTACATTTTTTTTTTAGGATTTTTTTTAAAATAAGACTTAAGGGTATAATTGTCTTTTTATTGGTTTTTATGGATTTTTGAGTTATGTTTTATTTAGGCTTTTGGTCAAGGGTTATTTGAACAATTTTGTTTTTTGGGAAGGTCATTTGGACCAATTTCCTCATTTTTCAGATCTAGAAAAATACATCTTCCAAGATCTGCCGTCAGTTTCAGTCGCCGCACTTCCATCCTCGACTCCCACGCACGACGGAGCTGCCGCCGGACCCAAGATCTGCCGGAACTAGAAGACCGAGCAGATAACTCTAGTCGACCTCCGTCTGCCGTCGAGACGTCTCGCTTCCGGCTGCTGCTGAGTCACGCCGCCTCCGTCCCCCGCCTCGTCCCATCGTCCCTGTCAGCCGTCTCAACGCCTCGCTGCCGCGTCGCCTCGCCTCCATCTGCCGGCGTGGAGAACCGACGTGGCTCAATGATGGATGCAAGTACCGTCGGAGATGATGGCGACGACGGGCTATGTTGACGGCGACTAACAGCCGGGTTTGATGGCGCGGCGATTGGACTGATGGCTATGGCGGCGTCGTCGTCGGAGACGATGGCGCGGCGATTGGACTGATGGCTATGGCGGCGGCGGCGGCGGGCTATAGAGGATAACGAACACTCGGAGACGATGGTGGCGGCGGTCTGGGGCTATGCGGCGCCGTGATATTTGTTGCCGGCGGGACAGTTTGTGTGTGTGTGTGTTCCGGTAGGGTGTGTGTGTGTTTTTTTCTGTAGTGTGTTATGCGTGGGAGATGAGAGATGGGTTGGTGATAGAGATGTTAAACGGTCCTTGGCCCGATGGGCCGGCCCATTTAGCCCGGTAAAAAACAGGGTTAGGGCTTTTTATTGGTAGCCCGTTTAAATCAGGGCTTTTTAGGCCCGGACCGTTTAAACCGAAGCCCGTTAGGGCTAGCCCGAAACCCGCTAGGGCTGGCCCGTTTAAGTTGAGTTTGGCGTTTTAAATGTTTGCAGCAAGTAAGTAATATGCTCTTAGATTCATTGTATATTACAATTTTGCTCTTCCACAGTATGAGTTGTAACGGATTATAATGATTTTGAAAGATAATTATTAGCAATATTCTTATTGTACTCCACACAAAATATATAAGTAAAATTAGAACGACTAATAGGAAACACAGGAGACAAAGTCCTAGCACATGAAACATAATGATTGAATTTGTAATGATATAATATCGTAAAAATTTTCAAAGCCAAAATAAGTAGTAAAATGGTAATTGTAAGTAATAATCCGAATATTTTTCTCTTTTGAAAAAAATATGTTATTTAAGAGTTTGTAGTGTGTGTTCATATGTGATGTGTAGTTGTGTATATAGAGCGGTAAATACTAAATAGCCGTTGAAAACAATCATTATTTAGTCGTTGTATTTTTTATAACTTTTTTATTTTTATTTTTATTTTTATTTTTGAGACATTATTATTATTATTATTAATATTATTATTGTAGCCCGCATAGCCCGTTTAGCCCGAAGCCCGCAAGGGATAGGGTTAGGTCTTTTTATTGGTAGCCCGTTTAAATCCGGGCTTTTTAGGCCCGAACCGTTTAACCCGAAGCCCGCTAGGGCTAGCCCGAAACCGCTAGAGCTAGCCCGTTTAACATCTCTAGTTGGTGACGTTTGGGTTAGCGGAGGATGGTGGATGTGGGTCCCACTTGGTTGGCCTTGTTTATAGTGATCAATTAACTCTTAATTAATTAGGGGTCAAATATACTTATTTGTAATCTATTTTTTCAATCAAATTTGGTGCTTAGTATGTGAGAGAAGATACTTGTTTTTTTTTTTT